AGCACACAGTTCACATCCATTGGTTCACTTCCCAAATGGGCACTGCAGCCAAGGCAGGAAGAGTCTGAGCAATCTGGACCTCAGAGATCTCACTGCTAAAATCAAGCTATAAATAATGATCTTATTTTATTATTATGAACATAAAATGAAAATACTTAGAAGGCAATTGCCATTAAAAAGATCTTAGTGATTTTTAACTTTTCGAGAAAAAATTGTTCATACGTGTCACATATGTTATTATGTGTATTTGCACATATCATTCCATACTTAAAGACTATATTTTCATAGTTATTGATTTCATTCAGGCATTAGCTAGTCTTTGTGAGATATGTGGTTTGGCTACTTTTCTATATTTATATTTCGTCTACTTCAAAGGCATAGTAACAGAGGGACGGGGAGAAGGAGAGGGTGTGTGGCGGCTAAGTAAGCAGGGGCTCAGGCACCTCGCGGCTCTCTGGCTGACGGGGCCCTGTCTTGTCTTCAGGGATCATATGCATCCTCTTGTGGCCAAGGGATGAGCTATGGGGAAATGCAGAGTCATCCATGAAGGAGTGGGTAGGAGTTAGCTTGCTCAGGTTCTTTAATCCTCACAATCGTGTATTGTTAAGCATGTTACTCATGAGGGCATCTAGAATTCAAACAGCTTTTCGTTAAGATGTCGACGATGTCGGGCAGTGTCTTCAGTTGAACAGCAGATCCCAAGAGGTGTGATTTTTCCCGAGGCGAGGTACAGAAAAAAAAAAATGAGTCATTCTTTGTAATGAGTTACTTTTGCTTTTTCCTTTTGTTTAGACAAGAAAAAAAAATAAAAGAAAGAAAATGAACTAAAGAATTTCATTTTTCTTGGTGTTATTTCTGTTTTTCAGGAGAGCAGGTACAAATCAGGAAATTGCAAATGCAAGTCCCACATTGCTTTCAGTTTTTCCTTGCTGTTCCCTTTGGTTTCATAGCTGCAGCGCTAAGCCCTTTTGTTCTTTAGAAGGCACTGATTAACATTTGCTAGTATATGCTAATGAGCATTAATTATCCTCTCTGGTGTGAACAAAGCAGTGTGATAAAGAAAGGGTAGAGACCTTACATAGAGTTCGTCCAGCCTTTCTTTATGTTTAGGAATAATTGCCTGTTTTTAGTTCTTTCACAGTTCTTTCTTTTTTTTTCCATTTCTTTTTTTACACATGATTCCTGGCAACAAATATTCCTCATCATTTTTATCTTTCAGAAATGTTACGGAAGATTTTTTGTTGCTGTTGTTCTAAATAAGCCAAGGAAATAGCTGCTGGGGACTTCTAATACATATTTATATTTTCATCTGGTTGTTAATTTGGTTGTCCTATTACTATAAAAGGTTCAGCCAGAAAATCTCACGCAAGAGTGTATATCTGCCGCACCCCACCGATTTACAGTGGTAATTACAGTGTAAGCACACACACTCTGAAAATATGGTATGACAATATGATTCAATGAGAAATGTTACTGTTCTGTAATAATCTGGAGGCAAAGAAAGAGCAAGACGTATTTGTTTAGAACCAGAGAAAGCTCTGTAGACCTTCATAAATATCCATTTACTTATTGAGATTATATATAGCCTTTTTTTTAAAGCCAACCCTCCAACCCGCTTAGAAGAAGAGCTGTTTTTGTTCTTTGTGCAGAGAGCCAGCTCTACAAAGTACCTAATTGCAGTTTTTTGTAAATATTCTAGAATGTAAGTGGCCATCAGGAGAACTAGACTTCAGCTCTTGGATTCGCTCTTTCTGATTCTCATGGATCTTTCTATTAGTATGTAAGACATTCTAGCTAGCTGTCTCCAATTCCTCATTTCCCATTTTTATTTGCATTTCCCTCAGTCTGTCTGTCTCAAGATCATCTCTGATCTCCCTGTTGGCAAACCCGACGGCCAACTTGCCATCTTCCTGGTCAGTCACACAGCAGTGCTAGCTGTCTTTGGGGAGGGCAGTTGTCTTCCCCACTCTCATTTGCCTTCTGCTTCACCAGCTCTTCCTTCTCAAGTTCTTTGCTGGAGTCTTTTGTCTCCTGAGCTTCAGAGCTCTCTTTTCCTATTGCTCTTATACTCATGTTTTGGTACTCTTCTGTCTTGAGGCTTTAAATGGCATCTGTATGCTACACATTCCAAATTAGTGTTTCTAATACAGATCTTTTTTTGCTGAATTCCAAATTAAAATATTCAACTACTGAACTGCCCAAGACCTCAACAGGCTTGGATGGTCTCGGTTCTGTTTCTAATGGTACAATGAACACTCATCCGTGAGCTAAGTGTGAGTCAGAGGACCAGGTGGTACCATCCCATTGTTCTGACCGTGGGGTTACTGTGGATCTTAAAGAACCCTAAACTGTGCCCAGTGCTTTCAGTTAATTCCGAACGCTCCCAGCAGCACTGTTTTCTGATGTACTCTCATGTCTATGAAATGTGACACTTGACTGCTGTTTCCTTTTAATGCTTTTAGTTTCTGGATCTATTTGGACGAAACGGGTTGCTTAGGAGTTCATCTCCTCCTACTGCATATTCATAAGAATTTATACTTCAGTGTAATTCAGCTGTTTAAAATACTCGACAGACTTCTTGTCCTTTCACTGTTTTCTCATCATGCCCATGAAAGAAGTTTCTTTCTAGAGTACAGGATCCATTGCATTTAAGGAGCGCTTAAACCACGATGTGGGGAAGGTGGTGGTGGGGTGAAGTTTTATGACTGTGAGCAAGCTCCTGCTGCTGGAGATTACTAAGACAACAGGTGCTGATAGACCCTCTCCAAGACTGTGTGGCAAAGGAACTACAGTTGGCTTCTCCCAGTTACGTATTTTTGAGTTATTTTCTCACATAGGCTTTTGTCTTGGAGGGCATTCCTGGCTCTCTTCAGCATTGCTTTGAGTTGAAGCAGAAACAGACACGTGTGGCTCATTCCTTTTCTGGCCAGTTATTGTTCTGTTAGAATCAAACTTGCTTTGAGACCTCGGCAGTCGTAAATCTCCTGGCTGTGTGGCTACTTTTTAAGGCTTGTTGCTGATGGCACCCTTGGTAAGGTGACCTTTGATCAATAAAAACAGTTATTATTGCAATACATACGAAACATAAGTTGGTTGTTGGTCAGAGGGATGTAGTTGAGGGAAGACGACGTCCACTGAGACTGTGAGGCTGATCATACACCGACTGCCGGGAAGCCTAGTGAAAATGAGCTTTTTCTGTAACACTCTTCATTGCATCACTTGGAAATGCAGCCTGTTTTTAAAATCCTGCGTTTGGCACCACCATTGTTATTTAACATTCACCAATAATTTGAATGTTTGTTTTGAAGGACATAGACATAGAGAGGGTAACATAAAGAGAGAATGAGAGAGGGAGAAGTCGGCTCCCAAGTGGCATTCCACAACTCGTCCCTTAACGGTCACCTGTAATTGTCCTGCCTCCAGCCCTGCTATCCCCCTCCTCTAATTACTAGAGAAAATGAAACAGTTGCTTATTTACTTGCTTTTGCTGCTTTAAACAAACAAACATGTAATCCTTCCTACAGATTTGTTTATATTGCAGTAATTCTTCCTTGATTGACTCCATTTAATGACATCCCAGTGAACCGAACTCTTACAAATAAGTGTAAGGTGACGTAAACATCGTATCTTTAAATTTTCTTTGGTTCTATGTGTTGCAGAAGAGGTGGTGGGTTCCTGTGTGCTGTTTTTGTTTTTTTCTCAGCTGTTCTTATATTGTGAATATGGATGAGTTCCTGTCCCAAGGTTAATCTTACGTCATCAAAATGCCTTCCTAGAGAATTTTTCTTTGAAGACGCTTAGTAGCTGTATTAATTGCTAGTAAAAGCCCATGACCTATACTAGAATGCAGAATATCTTCTTAGAACATTATTGCAAACTCTAGTAGTGACATAAAATCTTTGTTCTGTACAGATTCAATTACAACCAGCTATTGCCTGCTCGAAACAGAAGAACATTTGTGTTCACATTCCATGTCTGATGTTAAATGATAACATTTTTGCATATCTTAAGATTTTTTTATGCAGATGCTATGTAAAGGAGAAAGTTCTTCTTACAATAACCTGCTTTGTGAATGAATTTGCATCTTGGCATGTGTCGCCTTTTTAACATGCTCGTAGAGTTGTGAAAAATGACCTCTGAGAGGGTGCAAGCAGAAACAAAATCTGAAGTTCTTTCCCCTGTTCACAACAGTGTTTGTCATCTTAACTCTTTTGGCTTTTGCCATTCCACTTTAAGTAAAAATATAAAATTAATATTTTATAAGCAAGTTACTAGGATTTTTACCAAGGGAAGTTGTGTAGAACTCCGCAGACACTGGAAGAACGTTGGATTGACAAAGGAAACATATTCATTGCTATTGGCGGAATGAATAAACACATTGATTTTGGCTGAAGGATTTTAAAGATTTTACTTATTTGAAAGGCAGAATAACAGAGAAGAAAGAGAGGGGACAGGAGGGAGAGAGAAAGAGACCAGTCTTGTATTCACTGGTAACCTCTCCACTCCTTCCCGCCACGGCTGCGATACCCAAAGCAGCGCCAGGGTGAAGCCAGGATCTGGAAGTTCCGTCCTGGTCTAGCATGGTGGTAACAGGGATCCATCGTCTTGCACTGCCGTCCTCAGCAGATAAGCAGAAAGCTGAAGGAGAAGCGGGGTATCTGGACATGAACCGCACTCCGTTGTGGAATGCCAGTGTCTCAGGAGACGCTTAACCTGCTGTCTCAATACTGGCTCTGCTTGAAGTCACTCTGAATTGAACTAATAGGCTTCTAGTTGGTATATTTCACAAATCCCTGAAGGTGAGAAACCATAAATCTTTCCACACCACTGTGTAAAAGTCTGTAGCTACCTATCTCTAATAAAAATGCTCATTTCTGAAATGCACAGACTTACTGAGAAATGTTTTTATTAACTGCAGAAACACTGATGGAATTATTGAGAGTGAACACTAATACTTGCGTGGGCATTTGCATAATTGCTGTGCTTTCTTTCTTCAACAGTGCAGATCCAAGTGGAGGAGAAAGATGATACTGAAGAAAGTTCGAGTAAGTGGGAATGGGCCTACTTAGCATTCGTTTCTTTGATGATGTATGTAAGTTCCGAGTTTTCAGTCGCTTACCTTTTGGGAAAGAACAACTGTAGAAAAGAGGAGGAGCACATGTGGATGATTTTTTTTTATATTATTCCTCTCTGTCTCGCCTCCTCTCTGTATATCTGCCTTTCCAATAAAAATGAATCAATCTTTTTTTTTTTTTTTTGAAGAATGGCATTGTGGTGTTAAAATCGCTAAGTGTTGGTCTGGGAAAGGTTTATTTCTCCTTTATTTTTTTAAGAAGCAAGTTTGCATTCCACTTTCTTTTGTCCTGTGAAATATCTGAAGCCAGGAGCACGGAACTCCGTGCAGGGCTTTCACACGGGGAGCGAGAACTGAAGCACGTGGGCATCATGCCTCCCCCGGGGTTATCAGAGCAGTCCGTTAGTACATGGATCGGTGCTCCAATATGTCTCAAGTCTCAGTTTGACCCCCTGAGCCACAATGCCTACACCCATGACCTTCTAATTAGTGAACGTTGGGACAGTATGAATTTTTAAAAATCTGGGGCTCTGCATACAGGTATTTAAGTAGATAAAGGACATTGAACTCTATAGATGCTTCCTTGGATAGTGCAAGATGAAATATGTAGTCCTGGTTTTCTTATTGTGCCACACAGAGAATTGCTGGATTGGGACCTCAGATGTCTGACACTAGTCATTTTGAAAGCTAAGCTTTGATAACAGGAGAGAGAACTTTTTGATATTGCTCACTGTATCATCCACTGTGTTTAGGTGGGGAAGAAGAGGAGGAAGACAAACTACCTAGAAGAGAGAGCCTAAGACCAAAAAGGAAACGGAAAAGAGATGTCATCAGTGAAGATGACCCAGTGCCTGAACCGGAAGATGAAGAAACGCGGAAGGCCAGGGAGAAGGAACGGAGGAGGCGGCTGCGGAGAGGAGCGTAAGTCAGACTGCGACCTGAAGGGGCGCTGCAAGAGCACTCCCTTCAACTGATCGCAGTCCTTAATGTTGGTTCATCTGCTTTTGGAAAAATAGGCTTCATTCGCACTGCCCTGCTGTTCCATCGAATGAAATGTATTTAAATAATTGCAGTGGAGTTTCAGTACTTGTTTATTTTCATTGGATTTGCAAGGCAAAGGCATAGAGGAAGCAGAGATCGAGGGAAGGCTCTCCTGCTTGGCTCACCCCAGTACCCGTCACTGCTTGAAGAGATGTCTGGAACCAGCAGCTGGAACTGCACACATGGTTCTCACGTGGGTGTTGGGGAGTCCTTTGTCTTGCAGGATAGGGATTCTCATGCAACAGATAAATTAGCCCACGATTTAAGAATGGTTTTTGCAGTTTTATGCACATTAGTAAGAAAGAATATCAGGCAGTACAGTATGTAGACCGCAAAAGCTGAACTAATAAATACTTAGCCCCTCCTTTAATACTGCTTCCTCTGTAATACAGGATTGAGTTATCATTTCCAGTGTAATATTGTCCAGCTTCTCTTGGTTCAACCAGGGCAACATTTTCCTGAATACCAACTTTGTGTGCAATAATATATTTAATACTATTTGAGGAAAATTCAATAAGTAAAAATAAGTTTAATAATTTAATTGAAAGGCAGAGAGACACAAAAAGGGACAGAACTAGATGGAGCTTTGGTATCAGATCTGCTGGTTCACCTCCAGATGCCCATGACAGGTGGGACTGGGCCAGCCTGAGGCCAGGGTTCTGAAACAGAATCTCTATTGTGCATGGCTGAGATCCAATTCCCCATCATCTGTTACTTCTCAAGGTCTGAATTTTAGTAGTAAAGAAAATAATTTTGCTGATTCTGTTCCTGCCAGCCAGCTGGGAAACCCAAATCGAACTTCAGGTTCGCTCCCTGTGAGTTCAGTTCTGACAGGGGTGGACATTTGGGGAGTGAATTGATAAGAGGTTTCTCTCTCTCTGCCTGTGCCCCCATTCAGAAATAATGGAAAAAGGGGGAGGGGATGTGAATGTCTTCCTTAAGTTTGGAAGCCTTTGCTGTGTTTGTATCTTTAAAGGGAAGAAGAAGAGGAAATTGATGAAGCAGAGTTGGAGAGACTGAAGGCCGAGTTAGACGAGAAGAGACAGATGATTGCCACGGTCAAATGCAAACCTTGGAAGATGGAAAAGAAAATTGAAGTTCTTAAGTACGGTGCTGCTTTCTCTGGGCAAAAATACTTTTTTTGAATTGATCTACTAAAGAATCTGAATATTTTTTATAAATAATATATTCAATTTATCTCGCACGAAAATACTCATACAAGGCTCATATTTCTATTGCACGCATGTCTTAGGAGAGAGACCAAGTTAGTGAATATAAATTGGAGACAACTATGAAAAAATTCATTGCTTTGGGGGGTCTTAAAGCCCTTGTGGCACTTTAATTTGCTTTGTAAACTTAGGTTTCCTTAGTTTGATTGATCTCCAGCTCTCTTAAAATGTCCCATATTTGAATTTTACAAGGTTGTGTGATTTGTCTATATCTCTGTCTCTACCAGTCTCCAGACTGAAATGATCTTGTGCGTGACAGCTCTGAGGAGAGCACAGGGAGGGTGCTAGCGTACAGAACAGTCCGTGGGAGCCTCATGAAGGACTGTGCTCACAGGGTGCTGAGTGCTCAGAACAGTCCGTGGGAGCCTCATGAAGGACTGTGCTCAGAGGGTGCTGAGTGCTCAGAACAGTCCATGGGAGCCTCATGAAGGACTGTGCTCACAGGGTGCTGAGTGCTCAGAACAGTCCGTGGGAGCCTCATGAAGGACTGTGCTCAGAGGGTGCTGAGTGCTCAGAACAGTCCATGGGAGCCTCATGAAGGACTGTGCTCAGAGGGTGCTGAGTGCTCAGAACAGTCCATGGGAGCCTCATGAAGGACTGTGCTCACAGGGTGCTGACCTGTTGGAGATGTGTCACTCATGTTGATGGATGATGTGGGTGCAAACACTCAGAAAACACAAGTTTATAAATTCCCAGTATGCCAAGTGCAATGATTTTTTTTTTCCTTTTAGATGTTGGGAGCAGATGTGTTCCCCAGACACACACTGCATGTCTGTGTCTTGGTGGCTGGGGGAGGTGTGGCGTGGAAAAGGAAGAGGGTCTGTGCTAACAGCTGTGCTTTCGTCCCCCAAGTGGCGTGGAGAAGGAAGAGTGTCTGTGCTAACAGCCGCGCTTGCGTCCCCCAGTTTTGCTACAAATTGTGTTTTCCTGCTACTATTTTTTTTTTCACAAATTGTGGTAAGGTTTCAAAATTATCCCCTCCCCAACTTATTAACTAACAATGTTAAAATGACAGTATATAGCGTAATTATCCCTGATGTTGAAATGAAAAAGTTAAATAGGTGCCAGGAGAAGTCACGTATAGTTTTGGCTTTGTGCGAGCTGGTCTGTTATTTAAGGAGATCATCAGTATCCTGATACCTCAGTCACCGGAGAGCAAAAAGGAAAAGCATCCTAGATCCACCCTGCGGGCTGGCAACCTAACCATCATTTAGAACACAGCTTTCCCCCTATGGAATAAGGTTTTCCAAATTCCAAACAATGGGTCTAGCAGGACGTTCTTGCAACAGCCGCACAGGTATAGTTTGGGAACTCCGTGTGTCTGTCATGGGCTTTTCCAGCAGCAGTCGAGGCAGACACATTCCGTGTTCCTTGTCCTTGTGACTAACAGGTTCTCTGTCTCTCTTTCTCTTCCTTTTCTCTCTCTGTCTCTCTCTCTTTCTCTTCCTCTTTCTCTCTCTCTCTCTGTGTCTCTCTCTCTTTCTCTTCCTCTTTCTCTCTCTGTCTCTGCCCTCTTCCTCTTTCTCCCTCTCTCTCTTTCTCTCTCTCTCTGTCCCCCTCTCTCTCTTTCTCTTCCTCTTTCTCTCTCTCTCTCTCTGTCTCTGCCCCCTTCTTCTTTCTCTCTGTGTGCTCATGTGCCTGTGCCTGGAAATGTGTCTGTACACGACAGTACTCCCCATTTAATGAAGCAATCATGATCCTAAATCATAGGACTTAAAAATACCCTTTCCTGACAAACCAATGCTGGCTTCCCAAATACATATTGAAATATTAATGCCCCATAAAATTCTGAAACATGAAACCACAGGGAGCTTTAAACAGAAAGTTGTGAAATTGGAAAATTATTATTTGTGCGCTTTCAAAGCATAACAAAAGGGAAACAACTGGGGAGAATGCTAAGGAATGTCTCTCTCTCCTCTCCATTCGCATGGAGATGCAGAAGTGCTTTCCTTTTGCTCCTGCCTGAATGTCCCGTATAAGGCAATGGTGTGGGCATGGACTGTGCACTTGCGTTTCAATCTTAAGTTGCTCACGTAAGAGCTGTGTACATTTGAACGTAATGCGTAATCTTTCTGACCTCTGCTTTCTTCTGAAATTACCCTTGTTCACGTGTCACTAAAATCTTACAATGAGAAACTCATATAAATTATACAGTACGATAACAGAACACAGCACATAGGTAAGGAATATAGCTGCAATCATGATTCCATCTCAGAACACTTCACGGCAATGTATGATTCCCTGCCAAGGATAGCTTAAACCTGGCCATGCATTGCCGAGGTGGAGCAGATCTGCACAGGCAGACCCCACGAGTCTTGGGGGATGGTGACATTGCTTTGAGAATGTATAAAAGACCAGATGTTGAAGCTCCACTGAAATAGGGTGCGATATCTTGGAAGTTTGATGGCTCGTAGACTACTTCTGGATCTTCCAAAACATACTCAAGAGTTGTCTTGTGGCAGATTCCAGGGTCTGGGTCCTCAGACTAGGGTATAGCAATAGGTTTTAGAAGTAGGCAGAGAGGAATTTGTATGAAAATGAGAGCCACATAGGTACACTATTAGGATAGAGGTTAAAAATGGGAGCCTTCAACTGCATCTGGAACATTGGTTTACTCTGCAATTGGCCACAATGGCTGCAGCTGAGTCAAACCAAAGCCAGGAACTTCTTTTTAGATCTTTTTTTTTTTTAAGATTTATTTTTATTATTTTTTTATTGGAAAGGCGGATATACAGAGAGGAGAGACAGAGAGGAAGATCTTCCGTCCGATGATTCACTCCCCGAGTGCAACGGCCGATACTATGCCGGTCCGAAGCCAGGAGCCTCTTCCGGGTCTCCCACGCGGGTGCAGGGTCCCAAAGCTTTGGGCCATCCTTGACTGCTTTCCCGGGCCACAGGCAGGGAGCTGGAAGGGAAGTGGGGCCGCTGGGATAGAACCGGCGCCCATATGGGATCCCAGGCGTGCAAGGCGAGGACCTTAACCACTGCGCCACCGCGCCGGGCCCACTTCTTTTTAGATCTTTCCCATGGGAGCTTATAACTATGAATGAAGATGAAAATCCAGGTTAATCTGTTTTTTTTTCAGTTGTGCTCTGCTGTGTCTCATTTGAACCACACTTTCCAGTTAAATGCATTTTATCTTCATTGATGACATGTTGGGTATACATTCTCACTTCATTTCAGCCTCTTCTTGCTCTGAGATCATCTCTCCTTTGAGGATTTTTGTCTGTCAATCCTGGTTCAGAGAGCGTCCAAAATAGTCATTCAGTTATTAATTTGGCTCTTCTTATGCTCCATTGTGCTGCGTTTTCAGTATTTTAGGTAAGCAGTCTTTATTTCAGAATAGCCTTTGAGCTCCCGAGGGCGCAGGCGTCCGTCCTGTACTTCTCTCTTTCTTAGGGCCTGGCATAGTGTTTTCTCTGTGGATGACCGTGTTAACATGTTCCTGATTTCTATGTTGTTAGCTACCACTTCCTGGGGACAATGGAGCTCTGAGTGACGCCGGGATCTTTCATGAGCCTGGATAAATAAACGTGGAAAGGACAGAGATTGTAGTGATAAAAACAAACAAAAATTCTACAGCATTTTTCCCCTCAATTTCTGTAGTGTAGATACTTCCACTGGTACCAATTTCGAGTTACCAATAGTTTGAATTCCAGCTTTCACAGCTCCTGAACATTGAGCAGTTAGTTAACCGACTGGTGTTAACCAGCGTGAAATCACCTTCACTGGTACAACTAAAGATGACCTGAGTTTATGTTGATAGGAACCAATCTAAAACAATTAAAAGCAGAGGAAGAACTTGTTTATAATCAACAGTGAGAGCTGGCTATTAGTCTGTGATTTCAGTAGTCCAGATAAAAGTCTGAAGTGCATTGCTAACCTTTTATTCTAGATTCTGATTTTAACACATTGTTAAAAGTTTTTTCATCTTATATTATGAAATTCCCTCTAAAATCTTTCGGCACACAGGGGTTCAGTCTTCTTTCTCCTCCTCCTCTTCTGCTCCTTTCTTCATTTAAAATTCATCCCAAAGATTAAAGTATTAGGTGTGAGAAATGAGTTCTCGAGTACTTGGGCTATTTTCCATTGCGTCCCCAGGTTGTCAGTAGGGCATTGGACCAGAAGTGGAGCAGCTGGCTCGTGGACCCGCACCCACATGCAACGCTTGTTTGCAGGTGACGGCTCTCTACCAGTCCATCCCTTAGCAATTTTGATACATAGCAATTAACCGAACTTGCCCGCTTTAGAATTTTAGCTATGAGTAATAACCAATTTTCACAATTTTTATTAGATTTGATAAATATGTTTTCTTTGAAACGCTATTAAAATTGCCTGTGGCTGTTTTTAGATATACTTAATGTAATACATTAACAGTAAAAGGAAAGCAAATATACATCTGAGAAGCACAAAGTAATATTAATTGGAGAAATATGCCCTTATTGTTCTGGGGTCTGTGGTCCAGATGTTAGGTCAGGTTCTTGTAATTCACAGCCATTTGTTTCTCTGGAAGACAAGGAAATAGCTCCACATTTCCAAGATAGTATCTGGTATTTTCTTCCACAAAATATATGAATCGCTTTTTTTAAAAAAAAATATTTGTACTGACGTTTTTGTAACATCTGTACGTAAGTTTACATACATAAGCATACAAATGAATGTGTGTGTAAAGGCGGTCAGATATCTACACAAACACACATGACTTTGTGTGCGATCCAATTTCAGGCACACATTGTTCTTCTGCTCCTTGGCTTGTGCTGGATTGCAGGGATCGGAATAGGTTAGCAGGGAGACTGCTGGAGCCCTGTGAAATACCCAAAAAGCCTAGGTCCCACAGGAACACAGCGAACGCTGTGGGTGACCTTCCCTAAGCTCC